TTGGGGTGACTCTAGCCTACGGAATAACGCCAGCCACGGAGCTATGCGTCCCAGTTTCTGGACAACGAACCACAGGCCAATCAATGGTGCCATCAATTAGAAGTTGTGCAGTCCAGACAGAAGCTGTATGACATCGAGAATACAAGCAGACTATTAGTGAAGATCTGCATAACCAATCAAATTCTGTTGTTCATGTTATTTTATCTGTTCCATTTCTCTCAATAAATGAATCACCGATGCCGTGGCTTTTTCACGCACCTCAGTCACGAGATATTCCAGCATGCATGTGATAGTACAATTCAGTTGCATCTTTGATTCGTAATATCTACCTACTTCAAACACTTCGCAATAGCAGAGTACGGAATAGATACAGGGTATGTGAATAGAAAAAGAGATACTGACAAGGTCATCAGTATCAAAGTACAGGCGGGGGTGGCCCGGTGGTAACGTCATCAAATTATCACCCCGGGGCTGTGTGTTCGAATCTCACCACCACCGCCTGACTTATCCCATTGTGTGTTGAATGGCAGGCTTTCGGTTGGCCGCTTCTCCGTTCCTGAAAATTGTAGCATTGCATATTCAATAAAAGGAAGTGAAAAGATAAAGATGAAGATTAAAAAAATACTGTTGGAGGAGACTGATTAAATACGATTCCCCGATATCCCATTCATAAGATTTGTTTTACTTTGGAGCGGGGGGGGGGGAATTTATGCCTGATTAAATGGTTTATTTTGAATGGAAGTTGGAAAAATTTGCAGTTGTGAGTGAATGTTCNGAATGTTCCGCGAAATTGGGCGGGATTCGACTGTCAGTAGGTCAGAACAGAACTGTGTGTGCGAAAGATCGCGATTCTGATAAAACATAGTGTAGTGATTGTAGTTGTACAGTTGTAGTTGACAGTTGTAATACGCACGGAGGTCGGAACACGAATCACGCAATATGAATCACGGAACACGGATCAAGAATCAGATATCACGGACTAAATCACGTATACACTGGATCACACTGGCACTAGCATGCAATATTCCCGGTGACTCAGACGCGAGGGAAAGGTCACAGGAATGGTAATTCGTTTATTGTAAGAAATAAGGGGATTGAATAATATGTACAAAGTAGCCTCATTGATTATCCGGGCTTCTACCAATCGCGATCATTGTTGCTTCCATCATTCTGCTTCTGTCTGGGCCGCACAGTCTCTGATTCACTGCTACGATCTGCGTGAACTGAAAAGCTAGGAAGCACAGGTGGACAGTAGTTTTGATTTGTTTATTGTCATTTGCCGTGTGTGTGTGCGCGCGCGTGTGTGCGAATGTATGTGTGGATCCATCGACCCAACTAGGGTTCGAACCCAGGATCTCACTGGTTGAACACAAGCATGCTACGCACTCGGCCACCCAAGGGCAACCTGTCTACTTGGTACACAAGAATAGTGAAGTTGGACGAAAATCTTCACAAACTCTACTCTCAAACCCGATTTGGTGATCGGAATTACTAGCAAATCTGGAGTGCTATGAAGAAAACTCTATGGAACAAAAGTCTGACTATGCGGGCCTCAACTCATAGCACATGAACTTAACTGCATGTTTTCTACATCCACTCAAACTGGAGTATCGTATTAATATTTCGGTGGTGTTGACACAGTGGTTTAGTCGTTGTTATCGGCGTGCCTTGGACTCCAATGGTCTGAGGTTCGAGCCTCGTCACCGCCACCCGACTTTGGTGGTAGGCAGCTCTGCTGTCATCCGGTTCAATGACCCCGCCTAACCTATCGGGGTCTTATGNGTGGTTCTTCACTCCAAGTCTCGGGGCTTAGGTTGCCGATTTCGATCACTGAACAGCGAATCCTCGTGACTATGGTGTCCGCCCCGTTTGCTGTTCATCACAACCAGGTGTGTAATAAAAAAAACAGTTGACCATCATGAAGTTTCGCAAGCAAATTCTAATCAGATGTGGGCACAGCTGATGTGTCTCAAAGCATCAAAAGCTTCCGGTGCCGACAGACTATTTCCATTCGTCCTCAGAGAATGTGCGCACTATCTGGAGGAGCCACTTGCTGGTATTTTCAACCGTTGCTTCGAGGGATTAAAAATTGCCGACTGTTGGAGATCTGTGCGCATCACACCAGTTTCAGAAAAAGAAGCTGGGAAATTGCGACCAATCGCCTGTACTTCTGTTTTACTAAAAGTTTTCTAAAAGTTTAGGCTTAGTAACATTGTTCCTAACAATGGGTAGCTAGGCAACAACCAATTCGCTTATTACAAACAACGTTCTACCCTAGACGTCTTTGTGCATTTGCTAAACTCAGTTTCGCATTCCATGGACATGCACAGCACAACATTCCCTGTGTGTTTCCTCGACTATAGTAATGCTTTTCACTGTGTTGACAGAAGTAGGCTTTTTTCTCTACTCCAAGGTGCTGGATTGTCCAATAATACCCTCTCTCTACTCCAAGATTATTTTTCTGGTAGAATACAATTCACAAATTTNATATACATCAGTCCCGCCAGATTTTCTTCTCCCACTTTGAAGACCCTCAGAAGAACCAAGGAATGGGCATATAAAAACCGTGATCGGCCTTTAGTTAAACGAACGTCAGTGCTGATCAAGATTGAGATCCAAAATCTTGACAAAGTCTACACTGAAACCCTTCTTGGAGACCGAAATTGCAAGCAAATCTGGAGTGCTATGAAAAAACTTTGTGGAACAAAAGTCAGACTACGCGGGCCCCAACCCACAGCAGATGAACTCAACTGCATGTTTTCCACGTCGACTGAAACTGACGAATCGCATCCGTATTTTCAATCAGTTGACCATCGTGAAATTTCACATGGCAATTCTAATCAGGTGCGTGCACAGCTGAAGTGCCTAAAAATATCAAAAGCTTCCGGTTCTGACGGGCCGTGTCCAGTCGTCCTCAGGGAATGTGAGCATTATCTGGTGGAGCCACTTGCTGGTATTTTTAACCACTGCTTCGAGGAACAAAAAATTGTCGACTGCTGGAGACCTGTGCGCATCACACCAGTCCCCCAAAAAGAAGCTGGCAAACTACGACCAATCGCCTGCACTTTTATTTTACTAAAAAAATTTCGAAAAGGTTATGCTCAGTAACATTAGTCCCAATACTGGGCAGCTAGATGAAAACCAATTCGCTTATCGCAAACAACGTTCTACCTTAGATGCTCTCACTCATTTGGTTAACTCAGTTTTAAGATCCCTAGACATGCACGGCAGGGCTTTTCGTGTGTGTTTCCTCGACTATAGTAATGCTTTTAACTGTGTTGACAGGAGCAGGCTTTTGTCTCTACTCCAAGGTGCTGGATTGTCCAATAATACTCTCTCTCTCTAATCCAAGATTATTTTGCTGGCAGAATGCAATTCACAAAGTTTCTTGGAAAAACCTCTGACTCCCTACCAGTCAACTCAGGGGTGCTCCAGGGAGCAATTCTATCCCCCTTTCTTTTCTATTTCTATATACGTGACCTTCTCACAGACCCAGATGATCTTCTCATTAAGTATGCTGATGATGTCACAATTGGTTCCGAATTCCAAGGTGGTTTCCGCTTCTCAAATCTTCAAATCAGTTTTCCTACCCTAAGTTTATGTTCATCGTTTTCCAAGTTGTCTCTCAATGCCTCTAAATATAGGGATATCACCTTCTAACTCGCCAAAGGAGAACGCCTACATTCTTTTGAAAGGAATTGTTTTGTACTCTATGTTGACAACCAGCCTNACCTCGGTGTCACCATCTCCCAAGATCTCACCTGGACCTCAAATCTGAATTCTACTTTTGTAAAGATTCGACGATTGTGTTTCTTTATTTCCCGCTTGGGTTCTTTGAAAATTCCACTGTATTTACTCACTCGATTTGTATATTCTGGTGTTGTAACCCATCTTCTCTACTGCTCCCCACCTTTGTTTGCCGGCCTTAGGGTTAAAGATTACACAATTCTACGCCGGTCTATTAAAATTATTTCTCGCACAAGCGGTATTCCTTATTTGCACTTGCTTAACTTTATCGCCGATAAACACTTTACCTCTTGTGGAANCAATGCGTATCCACTCGTGTAATTAGATGTCGTTATAAACTGGTGTATGCTCGTACCACTGCCTGCCACTGTCCACTATCCATATCTTTCTGACTCAAAAGGTATGCGTTAGAGAAAATGTTTGAATGTCCTACGCAATTGATACTCAATTTGCAAACTTTTACTTCACTTTTCTTTCAATTTAAGATGTTTTTTTCATTTTTCTTTGTGACTGCATACGATGATAAATGATTCTGGAGTGCAAGAGACTGAGAATTGATCCATTAGGATAAATAAAGTGAGTTTTGACTTGACATGACTTGACAGATTCGTTCTGATAGCATGAAACCAAACCGGGTTTCTTACTTTTCAATTCATGTTTCGACTACTCTCCACCAGACAAAATTCATCATTTAATCGAGTAAAATCTTTCATTTCTCTCTCTCGCGTATTTTGCCAATTTGGAGAAGCGCGTTGAACACTACTACTACTGCTACTACTACTACTACTAATACTACTACTACTGAGTATCAGTAGGCATAATCACAAAATGTCCTTCGATGAGTACAGTTAGCGCGCGCGCACACACACACACACACAGACAGACAACTAAGCGTGGATAAACATTCCCATGCAATCATTTCCCGGGCTATGCGTCTGTGTGGGCGGTGAGTAAAAAATGTGATCAACCACTACACTCAGATTGGTTCATTCAAATGCGTTACCCGGACAACCGTCACGTCCTGGAAACCGATGGTTCCTCAGGTTACCAGTGCAGGCGTGATGTTTTTCTAGCTGATGGTTTTTAAAAGCCCTCCACACCACCCCACCCTACACACACACACACACACACACGAGAAATAAGTCAGTAAGGGATTCTTGTGGCATGGCGGAACACAGAACTCGATAAACCACAACCACAAACACAATCACAACAATAACCCGGTCCAGAACCGTATGTGTGTACTCCCTGGGATGCAATTGTCTCCGCTCGATTCGATTCACCGAAGAAGATCTTCTCGTACAGTCAGTCTGGTCAGCTGGGAACCGAGTACTGTGATTGCGATATCGCCGAGGCCAGTAGTGGTGGCCAACACATATCAACTAGAACCGACCCCGGGGAGAGAATTCAAGGTGGGAGAAGCCAAGGCAATTGTGGAAAGGGTAAGTGATCTGTCGCGTTCGCGGTTGGCCGCTAAATAACGAGCAATCTAGGCAACCTTAGCGCAAGACCGGATCATTCCATCAGTTAGACATGTTTGCCCCAGGATAACTGTTGATCAGCCCCAGTCAAATTATTGCGTTCCCCGTTGCCCAGATATTAATCCCCGAAACTCATGATTGTTATTCAGTGTTTTCTGTTGTTTTCTTTTCTGTTTAGTCTATTCGATGACGCATTATCAAACTGTGGAATCAGATTACCAAACTGGTCTAGACTACTGTGAACACTTGTCATCATCACCTTATATTACATATATATACATATATATGTAATGCTGTATGGCTGACTATGTGTACATAAGGTAGTACGAACTTATTTATGTGTATCACTCTTATCTGATCGAAGTTAAATGAGCCATCAACATCAGATGTAATCATTCACTCGTTCTAGCATATGAGTTTATCCCATTGTTCCAAGTCATCCGGTTCAGTGCTCTCGGCTATTCTCTCCCTCATTCACCCCCTCCCCGTATGAAAATTTATAGGTGTGGTTGTGTAGTTGACGTACCAACAACTGCGCTGCGATTTATGATAAAATGTTGTAGGCGAGAAAGCAATCCGAAGCGTTTGAAGAACGCAACTAATTAAGAGTCAATTGCTCACAAATTGAATGCATTCATACGCGATGGAAATATTTATGATGACTATCTGGGTGCTGTATTGTCCTGTTTGGGACTCGTCAGTGGTGTGTGTACGTTTTGTGTCCCCGTGTCAGAACTTGAACCACGAATCCTCCGGTCGGGACTTCAAGTCCTTACCCCTGGGCTGCACGGTCGACGGCTATCCACTTGTGCCAAGCTCACAATCAAATTTAGAGTAGTAAGCTTGGATTAGCCCATTCGAGTATTCAGAGGCACCAGACACTCTTGATGGTTTTGGGTGTGGGTTTCACCCCTTGCGACATCGTTGATTCCCCACAAGTTCATGCATTTACATGCGATGAAAATGTTTTTCATAACCCACAAAGAGCATTGGACAACTGTTTCGTCCTGTTTGGGACTCGTCAGTGGTGTATAAGGTTATATGCCCCCGTTTCAGGACTCGAACCGCGAAACTTCCGGCCGGATGTTCAAACCCTTGCTCCTGAGCTACACAATCATCTCCCAGGTTTTGAAACCCACTAACCCAAGATCACCAACAGTGCCTGATGCCTACGAAAAATCCCAGTGGGCTAACACAAGCATTCACCGTCTAAAATGATGGAACCTTTTGCACAAGATGAGGACTGTGTGGCTCAGGGATAAGGATTTGAAGTCCCAACCCGAAGGTTCGCGGTTCCAGTCCTGACAGGGACACAAAAAAATACGCTCAATGCTGACGAGTCCCAAACAGGATAAAACAGCAGCCCAGGGAATGCTATTTGTGTCGGCCATCACAAATCTTACCGTTGCTTATAAATGCAACTAATTCTTTGGAATTATGCCATAGTCTGCCACAATCGATGTGAACTGTTTGCAAATGGTGGACCATCCGATTTGCTGTCTTAAAATGGTTGTTATCACCTCACCGTTAAAATGAATGCACTCATGCTGTGCACGGAACGACAAGAACAACACAAAATTACCTTAATCCATGTGCGAGAAAACAGCACACACACAAACACACGCAGTCGTACTGAGTGGAACATCACTCTCCTGAAGACGTTCAAAAACTGTCAAGTGAACAGATACCTTCCGATGGGTGAACACTTTCAAGGTCAGATGTGTTCGTGATCACACGCATGAACGCACCTACGCACGTGCACAAGCTCATGACCGTCCATAAACTAGGTTACAAAATCGGCAAAGCATACTGGGGCAGGACCGGATCGGCTGAAATCTCTGCTCGCGATGAGAGTGAGAGACAAGTGGGATTTCTATGATCCGGCACTCCTTACACCGTGGGGAAAAATAGTTAGGCAAGTTTTCGCTGAAGAGTTTTCAACTTGACGTGATGTGATCTATGCGTAGGTGGGTACAGAAAAAAATCCGTTTTTTGTTTGTCAACGCAATAACTGTCTACTGAGAGGGGGTTAGTGGTGGTGGTGATGATTATGTGGTCTATCCCTGACGGACCCCTATCATCGTGAGTCGGCCTTTGTTGCGGAACCTATTCACTGCTCCTAGGTTCAATACCAAATGTTCTCTCGAGGTCTTGCCACTGCTTACGGTACCGGTTCTTGCAATTGAAGGTTCATGCCATTGGAGCACACATTTTCCGTGGTAATCAAGCTGCTTACTTACAGCTTCAAGTGTAGTTCAGTGTTGATTGGATTCCAGTCTCATCCGTGTGGTCGTTTTACCACCACAGTACAGTTCCCGATTCACACTTTCAACCAGCAATCGCTCATGTCGATATGCGTGTCTGATGAGTGTCTTCCATCCTTCGACGGGGTCAAACGGTGTCTCATTGGTCCACTACGAGTGAGCACGAAGATTACACACACACACACACACACAC